ATTTACTTTTTAGTAAAGAAGTTTATACATTTTATAAAATACAAACGTTTGATGACTTTAGATTTTATGCACCATAGTAATAAGTGATGGTGAAACAAGAGAAAAACAGCAATAGATGATGGAATAATGGTGATAGTGGAAGGAGAAAAAAGTGGCAACGGATGATGGAATAACAGTGTCAAAACTCCACTTTGATTCAGCGAAATGTTCGTATAAAAAGATAATTTTTGAAAGCTCAGTTTTTTTGATGTAATGTAATTCAATATTCCACAAGTTTATAAATATACAAGTGATCAAGTATTATATTATATGTTATTAGCCTAAAAAAATTTTGCTCAATTATGGAATATTCTGATAATATGATTTGCTGATCAATATTGTAATAGTGAAAATTTTTGCTGTCAAAAAGAAAAAGCAAGTTTATATTTATAAAGAACAAACAGATTATTCTTTTAAAAGATGCGAATAATTATAAAAATAAGTTTATGTATGATGAAAAAATTTATCTTTATTAAATTCTAATTTTAACTTCTAAATCAATTTTGAATCAAAAAAAACTTTTTTATGATAATAAACTTAAATTTAGAACATATTATAGTAATTCTTTGATATTTATTATATTGTTCACAATCATCTATTATCTTTTGCAAAGTATTAAAATTTTTGTCAATGAATTAATTCATTTTTTGGCATTTGGATTTTGGACATTCTCATTAATATAGATTTATTAAAGAATAAAGTTCTTTTTTTAATTTTACAATCTCATTAGCAGCAGCACTGTTGTGAAGAAATAAATATGTTTATTAGAATTATAAAAATCATGAACTTGAAGGAGCAAGCCAGAATTTTTATGTTCTTGTGGAAAAATTCTTTGTCTGAATTATTATTTATTAAAGCTTCTGTCTAATATATCAAATTCAGTATCTGTCTTATGAACTTATTTATATATCATCTCTATCTTTATTATTATAGAGCTTGATAACAAGATTAATATTTTTCATTAAAGAACGTGTAAAGTTATAGTTAGGGTTATGATCAGAGTGAGGGTTATATGGTGCGCACCATCTAAAGTCATCAAGCATTTATATTTTATAAAATGTATAAACTTCTCAACTAGGAAGTAAATTCAAAATTTAATCATGGTAGAATAAGCCTTTTTCCACCATATTTACGGATTAAATTTTGAATTTACTTCCTAGTCGAGAAGTTTATACATTTTATAGAATATAAATATTTGATGACTTTAGATGGTGTGCACCATACTTTACTTATTCTGCTTTTATACGATAATAATAAAAAAATCTAAACCGCAGCTACACAAAGTAGTGAGTTTACATACAAATGGAAGTTTGCTACATGTCTAACTAATAAACTATGAATTGTTAGAATGTACGCCAAATTTGATCTCATGTACAAAGTCACTCAGTTATCCGAAGTACATGTATTTTGGCCGAAGATCTTACTTCGAATGACTGAAATTCGAATAAATGTAATATTCGGATGAATAACAATGTATGAACATGCAATCTAGCAAAACCTGAAATGTAGTATTTCACATTCTTTTAACATGACAATAACTCACAAATGAAGTTCAATGAAGGTATGGCTCTTTTTTTTTAGCACAGCAATAACGATAAAATACACACAAATGGAAGTTAAATGCATGTCTAAAATAGTGGGTGCCGTCTAACATCCTGACGACCACAATCCCAGCATCCCATATGCCCGACAAACGAAATCACGAAAATCTAACATCCCGAAACACCAATATCCCGAAAATTCAGCATCCCTAAAGTCAATTTCCAGAACATCCAACATCCAGAAAAGATAACATCCCGACATCCCGAAAAGCCTACATCCCGAATGCTCAACATCCTGAACACTAACATCCCGATGGTTCAAAATCCAGAAATCTTAAAAAATAACAATTCAAAATCCCAACACATTAAATCATATATTATTTATATTATATTTCAAGAAAAAACGGCTCCCGAACTACCTCCGATCTGGAAATACTATATTTTAACGCTAAATTTGACTTTAAATTGGGATTAGTGTTAGGGTTAGAGTAGGGAACAAGGTTATAAAATTATTATATATCTTTTATTAGAATTTTAATAAAGTTGGATAATTATATATTGTAACGTTAACACAATGATCAATAAATTTTAAATGTTGTGACTTTGAACCATTGAGGATTGTGAATTTTCGGGATTTTGAAGTGTCTGGATTTTGAATTTTAAGGATTTTGAACTGTCGGGATGTTAGTGTTCGGGATGTTGGGATTTCGGGATGTTAAATTTTCGGGATTTCATTCTTCGGGCATATCAACTGTCGGGAGTGTGGTTTCGGGATGTCGTACCGGATCCTTAAATACATGTAGTCACGTATTGAACAATTTCTTAGGTAATTAAAATCACGTGAATTTTACATGTTTACTAGGAATAAATGTTAAATTCATTGGAGTTGATATTGAGTCTGCTCTGTCCTAATATTACATGACGTATCAAGTGCTAAATTAGCGCCTGTCAATATCTATGAAAATAATGCCCTTTTCGTTGATTGTCAAAAAACAAACGAAAATATCGTCATAATAATAATGTCACTTTTGTTTTTCTCGTTATGAGCAGGAGTCGTTCAACAAAAGAGCATTTGTTATCGTACATACACACCCCTACAATATGTTACCGGAAATTTCAAAAATGAATTTGTCACTTTGGAACCCGATATCTCGACATCCGGTATCCCATCTTCATTAGATTCGTCTCGACTATACGAATCTAATGGTGAGATATCGGGTTCCAAAGTGACAAATTTCATTTTTAAATTCCCGGTAACATATTATAGGGGCGTGTATGTACTTCGGTATGTACTTTATTTTTCTAAACAAAAATAATTGCAGAACAAACGTGGTCAAGGCAGAACAAACGTGGTCAAGGCAGAACAAACATGATTAAAGCTACAAGTGTTCCTTGCGAGTGTGCTTTCTCTGCAAAGCACACTATTGATCTTACGAAAGCTTCATTATGCTTAAAAAGTTAGTTGGAAGCGGGAATTTTAAAAAATTATGCATAAACGTGAATGATATCTTGTATTACAAGTCTGACTTTAGACCGAGTCTGATTAAGGCTCGACTTCTGGAGTCGGAACAAACTTTTAACATATCTACTTAGAGGAACTTATTTAGTATCGGTATTAGTCTTTATTCTTCAATTAACTGAAAAGAATGAAATTAATACTCGCTTTCTTATTCTGTCACTCGTTAACAACAACAGCCATACCTAATCCCACCAGTCCTATGAAAAATATTTGTCCAACAAATAGTCAAAAATTGTTCAGTTTTTTTGTTTGAAAAATGTTTGAAAAATGTTCGGAAAATTTCCGGAAAAATGTTCGGAACGGGGTCGATTTTCCAAACAATGAATTTACACAATTTCATATGAGTTTTATTTGTATTTGTGTGGATTATATATTCAATCTATAACTTTTATTATTTGATATATATCCTATTTGTACATGAATTTTATTATGAAATATATTCAAGTGATATTGCTTTTATTGTCGGTAATTGTACAAATTTAGTGTGAATAACATTTAATAATATCGACTATACATCATTATCTTCTGCCTTAAATCAGAAATAATCTTTGTGTATTGCATCGTAGAAGTTATTTTTTTCTTTTTCTAAAAAATGTATTAGAATTATTAATATAATATAATATTATACCATTGATCTTTGTCTTACTAGATACTTTGGAGGAGTTATGACATTTCTTTGAGAGTTGTTCTTTTATTGAGGCAATATTATTTTTAGTACTTGTGATCTTTATAGTCTCATCAGTGGAATCATTACATATTTTAATTAGGCAAAAGTAAGTAATTTTTAATGGCTATGTTAAGCAATATTGCTTTTGATTTAAATTAGTATACCTGGAATCACGAATACATAATACACGACCAGAACTCTCAACCTTTCTGCAAGATTTACCAAACGGTGTGATCAAAGAGTTTTGATTGTCTTTTTGAATTTCGTCTAGGATGTGCAGCGATTGAAGAGTGGTTAAGGGAGAATGGAAGGTAGATATTACGCTGTGTTGATAGTCGATTCAATGGTATTTGGTAAGCTTGGAGTTCTAATAGTATCTGAGAGTTGAACTTGATTTATATTGTACTGTGCCTTACTCTGAAGGTTTGAGCAATAATTGGTATTAATATTTTGGTATTAAAAGCAACTAATACTTTGATCTACTTATATTTAGACCAGAGAGAGCTAACTTCGTTTGATGAACAAGTAGAAATATGAGAAGTAGCTTGTTCAATATTATTTGTTTCTTGAAGGATAGATGAATCTTGATTTGGTTTCATTTTTTTATTGCAAGGCAAGCGACCATTTTTTTTGTGTCTTCTGTATCACCTATTCAAGAAAATATTAAATAAGGTTAATTATATATTCATAACATAATATACCTTTACACATATTTGTTATTCATTATTCCTCGCATCATTTATCTAATAGCCCAATCACAAGCTATAAGAGAGAATTTGGGATTCTTGCATTTAAACTAGAATCAAATAATATTAATTAGCTTAAGCATATTCTACATTAAAGCTCGAGATTATTTTAAATACCTTTTGAATAATCTCATCCTTTTTACTTTCAGGTATTTTTTGAAACTCAGGTTTCTTCTTCTCATATTTTGCTACAATCATCAAATGAAGTGACTTCTGAAAATGTCAAGAAATTGTTATTAATAAAAGAAATAAAATAAAAATAAACAGTATATACTTTACCTGGTAAGAATTGTATATAGGCTTCTTAATCTTTAGGATTTTAGGAATGTTGATATACTTTGCTTTATCTGGTTTTTCAATTGGATCTGACTTTTTAGTCTGAAATATAATAAATATATTAATTAATAAATTCATAAAAGTATATAGAAAAATCGATGTGTCATACAGAATCCTCATCACTAGTAGTATCTGTTCCTAAGTCTGAAGTAGCTTTCTTTGTATGATATTTATTTTTTCTTTTTAGGTATATTGTCACTTGTATCGTCAGAACCATGATTCTTGGTGGCATTCTTGTCACGAGTTTGAAATCTTTTAAGAATGGTGGCATTATTTTGTTTGCTACTAATAATGACTTGTCTTCATAATTTAACCCTTGCTCATCTTCGTCACTTGAGTCTTTTTCACTTTCATCCATTCCAGAATCTGATTCAACGAATTCACTTGTTTTCTCTTCATTACTTACACTTGCTCTCTTTTTACCCTTGCTAAGAACCATTTGGTTCTGTACATAAAAAAAACCAAGTCAGAAAAAGTAGCAAAGACAAAAGTTAAACGAGCTAGGTGTAAAGATATAAATGACAAAGAAAATGTTTCAATAATGATACCTGATAACTTTTTTTATTCTTATACCAAGTTAAATGTCAAATACACCTCCAAATTTTGGTTATTTGACAACTCACCCGTTGGTTTGGTGTTGAGAAATAATGTACAAGTATTTGCGTTTTGGATATTTGCCTTAATATGCGTTTTGTGAGAGTGACGTTATCATTATACTGCATTATACTTAAATATATAAGTATCTTAGGAATCATCATTTATTTTTTGATGGAGCTTCCAAAAATCTGACGTACAAAGAGAATGATTTTTCAACACGATTAATATTATGCCCGAGATCTTAGTCTAATTTGAAGTCTGCTACAAATAGCTAATTTAAAATAGTCTTTTAGCCAAACAAGAACAAAGTATGGTCGACTTCGAACAAAAGATGGTCATTACATTGGATCAAAGTGGATTCGTCGAAATAAAGACTGGTCAAGAATTAATTATACTGTTATGGTATATGTTTATTCAAAATTTTACATTTTAAACTTTTTACCTAACTGTATTTTTATTAGATAAAAATCGAAGTAGATATTTATGCAAACTATCCAAAACGACCATCAGTATTTGAAGTTCAAGATTTCTATGCCATTGTTAGTATTACTTAGCTTATGAATTCGAAAATCCAAAAGCAATGCTGGCCTACATTCAGTGGACATCGCTCGTTAATAAGATGTTAGTGTAAAGACATTACCCGATTTGATGCACATGAGTTTATTGATGCATCAGCCATTGATCATTGTGTAGACTTTATTGAGATTGATAGGTTATTTTATATTGTAGACAAAGAGGTTGATAGTGATAACCATGAATAAAAACATGTACAATACGTAGTAATCAAATTTGATTGATATCGATATCACACGATACCCAAATTCTTGTGTTAATGTTGTGCAATATTGACCCCATTTTGAACATAACCCGTACAAGCCTTGAGAAAAACCAAATATTTTCCGGATGATTTTTTTCATAGAGCAGCAAAGACGACATTAATCAATCCGAACACTATTCGGATGCAGGTTACGGAATTCGAAATTTCACGGTGACCGGTACAATTAATGTTTCAAACTTTCTCGAAAAAATCGGTGATCCCAAACAATCCAACCGTATTTTTTCTTGATGGTTTTCTGGGTTCCAGATTACTTTTTATCCGGTATTCGAGAATGAATTCTTCTACAGATCTCCATTTCGTTCGGTTTGATAATCGTGGTACACTTAATAGTGGCAAACCTACAGAGCCTAACCAATACATAACGCGTATAATCTAAAGGCTATCGTTTATGCGGTTATTAATGAAGGTCCTGGAAAAAAGATCACTTTGATCGGTTGGTCAATGGGAACGGCTACATCAGCATTGTATTTAGGAAATTTTGGACAAATTAATGGATTTGTGACTTTGTGGCAATCTAGAAAGTCAAAAAGTTAACCCTGCTACATCTGCAATTCTCGTAAATAGCGAGTAAAGATTATCAAAAATCGATAGAGGCACTACGTAGTAGGAAAAAATATACGATTTGTGAAGAAGCAGCACTATTTTTTGGCGAAATAGCTCTTACTCCGAGTGCCTACGTAAATTCATTAAATTTATTTTCTTCATTTTTTTTTTAGTTTTTTCTCTATTATTATTTTAAGAATTTTCAATCAATTATTAGGATCAGTGGCTCACACATGTAACGGAACACGAAAATTAACTTTCTAGCATTTTTATTTCCATGACTATTAGTTTGGACAA